GGGGGGGGGGAGAAGAGAGGAGAAGAGTTCGTGAGGAAGCGTTAAACCAGCACAGAGAGAAGCTTCAACAAACAAACAAACAAACAAACAGCCCGTTTCCACCACACAGGTGAAAACAGCAGGTTTTCCGGGTCGACACAGTCAGAAACCGCCTCGGTTTATCCACCTTTTCCTTTCAGATTCAAGCACACGAACACAAAAAAAATTCCTCGGCTGGATCTCATTTGGCCGGTTCTGACTGAACCAGGAGAAGTCGGAGCAAAGCGGAGTCAAAGCTTAGCTTGGACGTGATGCGCAGGCTAAAGAAAGAAGGAAAAGCCTTTCTACTGAGCCCACTGTAAAACTATTAAGAGTCTATGTGAGAACAAGCAGCTGGTTCTGTTCAGTGTCATAACCCCCTCCCCTCCTCCCCCCAAAAAACCTTACTGGGGCATTAAGATATCTATCTTTCCCTTCGGTTTCTTAAATAAAACGGTTGTCCTGAGACTTTGGAAACTAAGAAACTTTTGAAACTCAAAATGCAAACTTTAACCTGAACAGGTATTTTCTATTGTTTCTTCCATTTGGACTAAATGATTTAATCTGGATGAAAAGGGATTTGAGTTCAGCAGGTCAGACTGTCAGGACCATTATCCTGCCGGGCCAGCAGAGGGCGCTAATCTCTACACGGCTGGTTTTCAGTGTGAAAGGATTCACGGAGCTGGAGTTTCTATCTCTTTGGTTCTCAGCCTCCGGTACTCTTTGGGTTAAAGCGGGGAGCCCTTTAGCTCAAAGAGGACCAGAGTCTGAGACCCCTGAAGCCCTCTGCGCTCACCTGAATGTCAGTCAGCTCCTTGTAGAACCTCTTGGCCAGGTCGGGCCCGTTCTGCATGGTGGGGATCTGGTAGGTCTGAAAAAGGGAGGCGTCAGAGGGAGAGCGTTCAGTTCCACACAGCTGACACCTGGCACGGCTTTGGAGCACAAACTCCACCTCCTGCCCACATTCAGGGCAGAGCTGGTGCCCAGAAAACCGGCCCAGCTGCTTTTTCCCTCCCCCCGATCTTCTTCTCCGCCTTAGCTTTGTTGTGAATGCTAATCCAGCTTCATGCCAAGGCCGCATGTCACAAAATTGCTTTGGTTCTTTGGCCACAGAGTCTGGCTGTAAACCCGCTAAAGGTGAAGCAGATCTGGGACCAGTCCTCCTGGCATAAGCTCAGTTTCATTGTCTGGAACTCTGGAACATTACATCCCCTTCTGCCTGCCTCATTATCAACCCCCCCCCAATGGGACAGCACATTTGCTAATAACTGATCCTCCTTTCAGAAGGAGGGAGGTCTAACTGAAAAACGCCACTGGAACCCGCCACTGGAATCTGGAACATTATATCCCTTTCTGCCTGCCTCATGATCACCCCCCCCCCCCAATGGGACAGGAAATTTGATAATAACTGATCTATGTACTTTCAGAAGGAGGGAGGTCTAACTGAAAATCGTCACTGGGAGCCATGTTTTCGTCCTCCACATCTGGACCCATCGTGTGAGTCAACCTCCCAGGTTATCTGAGTGGGGGGGGGGGACATGGGGGGCCTGGCTCCTACCTTTCCCCTGTAGAGGAGGCTGCCGACCGGACAGACCACACAGGCCGTCCCGGCCCCGAACACCTCCAGGACCCGGCCCGCGTCCAGAGCCCCCAGCAGCTCCTTCATGCCCATGGTGCGCTCCGTCACCGTAAACTCCCCCTGATGGAAGACATGGGGGGGCAGTCTGTGATCAGCATGTTACGGGAGGGGGGGGTCAGCACATTTGTGAGTGAGACGTGAGGGACGTCCATCTTACCCAGTCTCTGCCCAGGTCCAGCAGGGACTGCCGGGTCACGCCGGGCAGGATGATGCCGTCCAGGGGGGGGGTCATCAGCTCCCTCTCTGCACACACACACACACACACACACCAATATTCAATTCAATGATTTCTATTCAACATTTGAATCCCAACAACAGTTATCTCCCAGCTTTCCAAACAGAGCAGCTCAGACCGGACTCTGAAGTTATTTACTAAACATTTCCCGACAATTCCCACCAAGAGCAAGCACTAGGCGACACAGGGAAGGAAAAACTGCCTTTAGGAGGCAGAGACCAGGAGCAGAACCATGGCTCAGGGTGGGCGGCCATCTTCCTCCCATCCCCGGTTGGGGGTGAGAGAGAGATAGGGCAAGACAGAGAGAGGGCGAGAGAGAGAAAGGGAGAGAAGGACAGAGGAAGCGGGGGGCTACACAGTAACATATAGAGGTACAGACAAGTAAAGGTGGTGTTGTTATAGACTGGATGAACAACGGTACAGATGTTGATAGTAATGGCATGATAATGATAGCAGTACTAATAGCAATTGGACCAGGAACAGTAGTTGTAATTGTAGCAGAGGGGCTGAGTCGAGCCGGGAGCCCCACCTCCTTTGTCGTTGGTCCAGTAGATGAAGAGGTTCATGGTGCCGACCTCTGTGATTTCCTCCTGCTCCCCGTAGAGCCACAGCACCTGCTGGCAGCCCTGCTTCTGCGCCTCGTTCTGCACCGCGATGGTCGGCCCGTAGTTCCTGCACAAAGACAAAAAATGTGTTTGTCTTTAGAGTCTGTGGAGGTACAGACTTCGTGCATTCCTTGGACTCACTGCCTTGCTGTTACCTTTCCCTTTCCTTCCAACCCCCTATCCCTCCCTCCCTATGTGTCCTTGATGTTGTGATTTGACTGTATCTGTGCTTTAGTGACCTGAGGTGGTTTTTTAAATGACTGTTACGTCCCCTGTAGGGGGCGTGGCACTGGGACTTTTTTTCCCTCTTCCCGCAACATCTTTCCCAATGTTTCTTTGTTCTGTAGAAAAACGGTGCGCCCCTGTGTGGCTGCCCTCAGTCTTCCCGAACTGGTGTGTCTATGTGTTTTGTTTGTTTGATCTTGGTACGGGCTGTACTGGAAGTCAATTTCTCCATGTGAGATCAATAAAGTATTTTCTTCTTCTTCAGGCAAAGCGGTTTCTTTTTGGCTGCTTGTCCTCCGGATTTCTCCTTTTCCCAACAGCAAACCAAAACGCCGTTTTCTGAACTGCTGCCAGATCCGTCTCAGATACATCCTGGTCACACCAGTCCAGACAAATTTCTAATGTTTCAAATCGTTTGCTTCCTTGTTTCTGCCGTTTTGCTTCACCTCTGAGACGTTTGACACATTGTCTCCCTGTTTGGGAACAAGTCCTTCAGATTTAAAATCCTGTCACATCAGAACTTTTCTAGGAGATCTGAATGCAACCTGAATTAACTACATGTTCATGTTGATGCTAATAAACCCACGTTGCTGCTTATTGCCTAAACTAACTAAATGGAAATACAGTGGAATTAAAACCACGAATAAGCTCCAACATGCAGCAGCTCGGTGTGGTTATGTAATAAAGAGCTGAGGAGGTTCTGCTCTTAGACCAGCAGAGTCCTGTTCCTGACTCTGTCTCCTCATTCTGGGCTTTCATTGTTTGTTTTTTTTACTTGCAACAGGCTGAAGAACAGCTCCGGGCATTTCATTAATCCGGTTTGAACTGGTTCCAATCATTAACCCTGAACAGCCTCTGAGATGGAAACTCAAACTTGACTTGGATTTCTTGATGTGAACTTTTGCCAAATTACACCAGGGCTGCTTTCATTGTTTTAAAGGATAACCAGTTTGTCCGCGTCGGTTTTAATTATTAAACACGTTTAGAAACACACCTTGATGCAGAGCTCTGTTTGAACTAAATTGAGCTTATCTGAGTCTTTGTTTGGGTCTGAAAGCTGGATTTGAAGAGTTTAATCAGTGGAGAAACACATTCTTCTTCATTTTCCATCAAATGGGCCCTTAAACCAATCCAACATCCAGCTGTGGTGTTAGCCAAGCGGCTAATCATCATAACTGGCTCTTTCTGACTTCAGACAGAGCCAGAAACAGCCGGGCCAGAGCTGCACTCACCCTCCCATCTTGTAGGCCCCCACGCCCCCTCTCCAGGCTCGGACAAACGAGGGGTCGGCCAGCAGGGACACCGGGTTGAAGGACCCCGTGGCAAAGTATGGTCCCACCGGGCCCACGATAACGAAGATCATGGCTCTGCTGGGCCGGGAGACGCCCAGAGAAGGCTGGATGGGATAATGGGGGGGGGGGGCAGAGAGCAGGGGGGTCAGCACATTAGGACGCCTGGCGGTGGGTTAGGGTCCGGCGCCCCCCGGCCCACGCTCACCTCGGTCCCGATGAAGGTGGGTCTGATGTAGAGGCTGGCTTCCTGGGAGTGCGGCACCCATTCCTGGTCGATCTCCACCAGCTTCTTGATGCACTTCAGGAGTTCCTCCTTCTCAAACAGCTGTCGGGCAAAAAACATGATCGGATACTTTTAAAAAAGGGCTGCGTCGCTTTGTGCTTTATGAGCCTTTTCCATCTAAATCCTTTCACATTTGACATCTTTGCTGTGATAATTGGCAGTTTGTTAGCAGCTGATTGGGCCCTCAGCTGCTGTCCGCCAGCTTTTAGCTGCTTTTTCCTTCCTCAACACACCTGATTCACATCAATGGGAGGAGCTTTACTCCCACAGATCGATCCCTGACGGCTAAGTCTGAATTCAAAATCTGCTTCGCTCGTGAGAGAAAAAGAGAAATAATAATGTTTTCATAGCATTTGCTTTTTGCCCTTTGTTTTCAGAATGAGTGAACCAGAGCATTTGGTGCCTGATATCTGCAGCCCCAGAGTCAGACGATGGGGGGGCGGGGGGGGGCTGCCTTACAAACGTCTGCTGTTTCCCTCAAAAGCTCCTTTAAAAAAAGAAACGGCGGACTCACGGGGAGGCAGCTTCTGTCTGCGCTGCGATGCATCCTCTCCATGTTCAGCATGGGCCTGAACAGCCGGATGTGGTTGTCCTCGCCCCGGAACGCCTTCATGCCCTCAAACAGCTGGAGGGGTCGACCAGAAAACAGCAGACAGCAGAAAAAAAGCGGTCGGCCTTTAACTCATTGGCTGCCAAAGACGTCTATAGACGTCAATTCAAATACAACCGTTGACTGCCAAAGACGCCTATAGACGTCTTTTATGTTTTTCAACGAGAGTGGCTTGGGGGACGATCTGCTAAAGCTTGTCTGTAAATATCAGGCTTCTAGACAGAGTATGTAGTAACAAATTGACCCTCTAGGTGCCAGTGCCACTTTTGATGGGAGATGAGCATAGACTGTAGGCAAATGAGAAAAAGGTAACGGTTCGATATGAGAAAACATGTCGCCGGTGAGACGCAAGTCGAAGAAGGTAGAAACAATTTTTTTTCCTAATGAAAGAAGAGAGTCTACTCTTTCTTTTGGTGTGTTGGGTGTTTACATAGTCATAGCACAAACTATTCTGTGGCTCTTGAAAA